ACTATCATTTGTTATAGTATCTTTGATTTTATAGATGTATGCATTCATTTATGTTATTTTTAAAAAATTTTGAATGATGAATAAGTTATGCAAACCAATTAATTTTAAGATTTTGCAGACAGAAGTATTTTTTCTAGTACTTACCTTTTATAGTATTATTTAGGATGCTATATAATGTCATAATGATAGATTATTCAATCATATGCTAAGAATTATATACATATATTTAATTTGTTTATAAACTATAAGTAGCTGTACAAATTGTTGTACAAAACCAAGGACAGAAGAAATTTACATAGTGTAAGCCCTGAAATTAATCATATGTTATCATAGTCTCATATGACTGATCATCAAAATTAGGTTCTGCTTTTTACCTACTTTTGTTACTTTTGTTATATTTATTACTTTTATTATTTTAGGTAGATCAATAGCATATTGTACATTCAGTTTTTTTTTAGAATAGAAGAGAAATAAGTTTTAATAATTATATAGTGTAAATAGGTAATATTGAAAAAATTAATCTCAAATATAAACAATACTTTTATTATAAATAAAAGGCTTTTTGCTTAGAAGAAAAGTAACAAATATGAAGTGATACTCTCAAGTAAATACATTTTTGTAATATATAAAAATATATTTTTAACTTATATTAAAAGTGAACTATAATCTAATACAAACTAGTAAACTATTATTAAAACCATTGTTATTCATATCATTTACCTCTTTATAAATCACTAAACTGTATTTTAATTATTTATCATAAGTCATATTACTAAGCTGTTAATACGAAAGAAAGATCCAAACTTGATTTGACATATCATAACTCTAGATTAAAAAAGTAAAAAAAGGACAAGAAAAGGCAAGGTTAATAGAAGAATAAGTTAAAAGAAGGACTTAGAAGAGAAGAGTAGTACTTACCTACAGATAAATCATTTAGTTAAATTTATTATGCCTATTTCAATTTAGTTGCTATAGGTTACATAAGAATTGGAAGGAATTAGTAACAGACTTGCTGAATTACTAAACAACAATAAACACTATTTTAAGTACAAAAAACCATATTCTTTATTGCAATTCATTTCTGATATAAGAAAATAACTCTTTATAAAAGAAGTTGCAATCTGAATATTAGTTTGAATTTTAGCAGTTCTAATTAGGAATGGGTTCAGTCAGTCATGATTAGTTATTAGTCAGTTATTGCTGATCATTGATTTATAACTAACTAATCACAGTTATTTAACTAGTTATATTAGAGACCTGCATAGACTAAGTCAAAATTTTAAAATTTCAAAAACCTTTCAAAATTGTGGGTCTGATAAGATATAAACATAATAAAATATAGATCAAACTTTTAAAAAACATAGTAAATTTTATTTTGTGGATCAAGTAGCCAAATTTTTAGGCCTGTGCAGGTTTCTAGATCATATAACTGATCAAATAACTGGTCTAATAAGTTATAGTTATTGTATGAGTTGTAAAAAATAACTAAATTTGAATAGTTGATGTTATATGACCAAAGACTATATAACTTTGTGCAAATTTAGTTATTTTATAACCTATATAATAACTATTTTATTGCATGATATTTGACATACATCCTGTGCCAATAAGTAAATAAAAAAAGCATAAGTTGTTATATAAGACCTGTACAATAACTGTTCAGTTATTAGCTAGGTTTGCAACAAAACTTTTCTGTCTATTTAAATTTTAATCAAATCTTTGTGCATATTTAATCAGTATTAGTATCAGTATATATAAACTACTACAGCATAACCACAAAAAAAACTTCAGATATATAATTTATGTGGCATTATCATTTGCATTAAGCACAAAAAAATAATAATAATTATAACAATTACTATATATATTATATAGTTGATAGTAATTTTGAATATATTAATTAGCAATATAAGCTACAAAGATGTGTGTCTAGGTTTTTTGATAGTTACACTAAAGAAGTCCAGTATAATGATTATTACTGTGACTAAGTTTTTAATAAATTATAAAGTGAAACTTAAGATCAAACAGAATACTATAATGCAAAATAGTTATTTATATGTGATTATAATTACTAACTTATCTTTAAATATTTTTCATTACACTTCTAAATTACAAGAATCATGATTATTAGTATAAGTGTTATCATTAAATTTATTAATGCATATTATCTTAGTTAAATAATATATAATTATTGAATGCTTCACATCCAATAACAGAAGTTATTTTTCAAATAACACTATTATTAGTTGTAAATTAGATAAATAAGTTATTGGTGTATAGTATCCAATAACAGTATTATCTGTCAGTTTGCTATTATTAGATTGCCAAATAACTTAGTTATTTGACAATTTGATCATAGTAAGATAACAGAAAATTATTTTATTTATAAATATTAGAACATGTAAGCAAACACTGTAATTAGTTGTTATTATAATGAATTACAACAAATAATGCCATAATTCATTATAATTACAACCAATTATGACATTACACTCATTTTTATATATGATTAACACCAAAAAAAAATAATTTGAACTTATTATTTTTCAAATCATTCATTATTACATAATATAATAACAAACATTGTAATAAATTAATTAACATTACTAAAATAGTATTGGTCAAGATTTTAATAGTATATTATATATTGTATGCAGCAGAATTTTTTAAAGACTGTGCAATGAGACTTTTAAAATTCAGGTTAGTTAATATAATTGTGACTAACTGGTATAATTCTGGTCAGATTGCATAATGTTGCAAGCTACACAGTGACTCATTCCTAACTATAGGTAATGTATACAAAATTTTTGCTAATCCTTTCTAAGGTAGTTAATATGTGATATATAGTGAAAAACAAATAAATTTTTAAGATCATATGAGTGCGTGAGAGTGAAAATCTGGAAACCTATCATAGTAAATCATTAAATCGTTTCCAGGTTTTTACTCTCACGCACTCATATATAATGTAGAGACACTTCACTCACTATAAAATGATGCATTCTGTTTCTGGTATAAGTAAAAACAAGATATAACTTGATATTGTTATATTTTATCAAATTCAATTTAAACAAGTTAATTTTTTTTTTATAAAAATCATGTAATATATATGAAGTCAAAACCTGTAAAATCAGGAATAAAACTTTTAGAAAACAAGGCATGACTTTAAACCTGAAATGCATGCACACAGTTTGTATAAGCTATATTAAACCGGTTGCTTTTTTAGCATTGTTCAGAGTTTCACAAAGTCACAAGGATTGATCATCCAATCAAGTCCAAGATTTCACACATTGACATCTGAATCGCATATAAATCACTAAAATAAAGTAAACCGTTATAACAGCAAGTGCTATTTCGCGCAACTCCAAATCATGTGAAAACGAAATAAGATAGTGTGAGCCCGATTTTTGGGATCACAGGTGTCCGTATCGAGACGACGATCTTGCCCCGATCCAAGGTCACACGGACGTCACTTATGTTACTTACGTCGCTTCTACGACTTCGCCTACATATGAGTTAAACGAATATTAGCGTTTTATTAGACTTAGTTAGGATATAGAATATAAGAAATATAATGCGTTTATGAGAGAAATTAACTGTAAATGTAAACAAAACGTTTATTATAAATAAAGGGCCTTTTTGCCTTGGGAAAAAGAACAATTCCCGCATTCCTAACAACAAATTCCTAATAACAAATTCCCTAATAACAAATAAATACCCGACCCTTAATAAAAGTGAAGCTCTACCCTATACAAACTAATAAACCATCGTAAACCCTGTTGTTACCCCTATCGTTCATTTAAATAAATCCCTAAACTCGCAAGTTGATCGCTCGCCGCAAGTCACGTGACAAGACCGTTAACGAAAGAGAAGTTCCAACCCCGATTCGACGTAGTGTAATCCCGGGTTGAGGAAGGCAAAGAGAAGACAAGAGAAGACAAAGAGTTAGTAGAAGAATAGATTGCAGGAAAGACCTAGAGAGAAGAAGAGTACTTACCTACGGATAAACCACCCAGCCAAATCTAACACGCCTATTTCGACTTAGCCGCCGTAGGTTACGCGAGAGTTGGATTAATTTAGCGACAGACTCGTCGATTCCGGAATCACAATAGATCAATGAAAACGAAAGGCATAAAATAGTAAAAAGGCTGCATAACAAAATTGATAATACAGGTGGGATCTTGTGTAAAACAGGTAATAACCTGACAATCAAAAAGACACGATAATAAATAGTAAGGGCCCGTGTTCAAATCAATGACTAAATAAGATAGTCTAAACACTTAAAATACAAGCATGATATCGATGCAAAAAATTTATATAACGCACAAATTCAGAAATCATGAGATAAAGTCACAAGGATCGATCATCCAATCCAAGATTTTGTACATCCACATCTGAATCGCCTATAAATCATACACACGTTGTACGTTGTACAAACTCCGTTCCTGGTAAAAGTAATCTTAACATACCTGGCTTTAACTTCCCCAAATTAGTAAATATTTTAGTTGTTTTTTTTACAGCTGTTTTCATAAATTCTGGGACACCTAAAAAATTTGCCGACGATAATTTCGGCCGAATTCGATAAGTTATTTCTTCGGCATTACACAACATATATGATGTATATTGTGTAACACTGAAGAAATAACTTATCGAATTCGGCTGAAATTATTGTCGGCAAATTTTTTAGGTGTCTCAGAATTTATGAAAACAGCTGTAAAGTTCCGAAGTTATATTAAACCGCTAGGTTGTGCTGGTTTTTGACGGGGTGAACTAGTACTTAACTCCGAGACCATACTTTTTAGGGACCGGACCGGAACAAGACCAGGCAAACCATTTACAGTAACATCCCTACTTATGATTACCCGATACTTACGTACTGTACATAAGTTATTACTTCGCCGAAATTATTTCGGCAGCCGAGCTTATTTTCGGCAGCCGTAATTATTTACGGTTTAGGCTGCCTAAAATATTTACGGCAAGCCAAAAATAATTTAGGCACCCATCTATACTTCTGCGCCTATGGCTGTATCGCACAGCTGAGCTAAATGTTGCGATACCTCTTTAATGTCGAATGAATTAACAATACACTTCGCAGAACCATCCACGCTCTCAAATTTTTCGGGACGGGCCGTCTCGGAAATTTCGATCTGTCCTGGTTTAATATTTTTTGATATAGAGTGATCTTGTGAACTCAGCTCTAAAGAAGTATTGAACAATTCTTGCCGGAGTTTATCTGTTCCCTTTTTCTTATGGTTAACCAAAGATAGGGCTTGATCCCGAAGTTTCTTCTCCTTAATGCACTGAATTATCTTTTTACTAACCGTTTCTTTATGCTTTGAATCCAGGAATTCATTTTCTTTATTCTCTTCCAATGATATGGTTTCTGCGGGAGATGTGGGGGTTACTGAATTCTGGTATATATCAGAATTAGATGTGTTAGACTCCTTATGAGTATTATTAGAATTTTCTATTTTAGTAAAAATGCTTATTGTCTCATTCTTTGCTGACAAGGAAATTGGTAACCGCTCTGAAGAATCGGTGGTTATTCCCTTTGATTTGATTTCCTCAAAATCACGTCTTAATTTTGCTACTTCAGTTTTAAGCTCAGCATTCTTAGAAGCAATATCTGCTTTACTTTTCTCTAATTCCTCAATTCTGCTTTTAAACTCAGCATCATGTCTAGAATTATCTTCAATGATCTTGCTTCAGCCTTCTGTTTTTAGCCTTAAGGTCAATAATTTGTTGTCTCAATAAATCTAATTCAAATAGGTCTTTAGACTTGTCCTTTTGATCTTGCATGTTTGATATTAATTTATATAACTTTATTATAAATGTTTGGAAAAGAATTTTTACTGTACACGTTTTTAAAAAAATATTTTTTCTTGATAGTTAATACTTTTAATTTCAAATAAAAAAATTCAAACAAAAAAGAAATATGCGACTAAAAATGAAACAAGAAAAGAAACAAGAAAATAAATAAAAAAATAAATAAAATATAATTTTCTAGATACAACTCGTAATTCGTCTACTTCTATGCTTAACAAATCCGTCACCATCTCCAAAACCATCCTATCCAACTCTCTATATGTACACACCGCTACTTTTCTTTCTCTTTCCCTACTTGCCGACTCATACGCACTCCCACCTATTCTCTCTTTGCAAACACCAACTACAGCTCCAAAATAAAAATTACCATCTCTTATAACAGTCCTCAACTCATCCACATGCTTTCTCTCTAAAGAATGACTCTATTGTTAGTTTAATTAAATTTTAACAATAAAAAAAACTAAAAGTACCTATATTTTGATTGAAATATGCTTTACACTGCACAACTCCTCTGAATCCACATAATATAAGAATAATATCTCTACCGCCATCTCGATTTTTTCTAGAATAATAGATAAAAATTGAGCATGATTCATAATCGTATATAGCTGGGGCCAGCATGTATCTTATTCATCGATTGATCCCCGAGTGGAAGTCTACGGACGGGATCCTTGAAAACCGAGAAGAACGTTCAACTATTTAAACAGTTGGCCACGACGAGCTTTCAATTCTCGGATATTTACTTCAAGTCGACAGCGTAACTTAGGACACATAACGACTCATCATATTCAATGAGAAATACTCACCCAACTCGCTCCACTATTATATTAAATTCTCTAAAACACTCAGCTAAAAATCTTTCACAAAACTCTTCAAATCTTCTTCCTAAAGCTTGCGATGACTCTTTATAGAAACGAACAAAAGTTTCGACGTGCATTTTGATAAAAAAAATTAATTCTGGAAAAAACTTCCATACCTTTAATATATAATAGTCATCACTCCTTTTTCGTTGGGAATATTTCATAATTTTTTTGTTAGAAAGTGTGCTTAAATTACTCGAGTTATTCATCATGAGAAAAAAAAATATGTTAAAAAAACCATTTTAAGAATATATCAAAAGTCATTTACTTGAAGTTTATTTATACGTATCTGTTTCTAACCGCACACTAAAACCTGCTTTATTTAACCTTAGATGTAATTGAGCACTATGTAAGATTCCAAACTGGTTAATAAACTTCTGGTATGTGCAGATTTGAATGTAATACTTATACAATAGCAATAACGTCTATAGAGAATCGACATGCACTCCAATTATACTAACAAGTTACTCTGATCAAGGTTTGGAAAATGTGAGCAATTGACCGAATTTAGTTTAGATCATTCTGGGGTTCTGCAAATCATGCATGAGAATTCAATGATCTGATCTTCCATTTATTCTGTAATACATTTATATCATACGAATTTATTTAAATATTTTGGGCTTAGCGTTAGTAATAAAATCGAAAATTCCAATTTATTTTTAGCTTATGTCAAAGTATAAATCGAGGATTGCCTATCTCACAAGTTAATTATACATAAGCCAGGGTTTTATATTATATGCCATGTATCAATTTTATTTTTATCTAATGCTAAGAATTGATACGTTATTGATATGTATTATTTTTTGTATATAAATTCTTATCGCATTCACATCGCCTATATATTCCATCCGCTACTTTTTTGCATGTTTTGCAATATAGGTGTGAATGGTGATTGCATTCGTTACAAACCCTACACCCGTGCTTCCACCCTCTAAATATATGCCACTTTTCAATGTAATTGTGTCTTTTTTTATTTGTTAATGCATTATTGCTATTTGGATTTTTCATTATTACAAAAAAATTAATATATACGTGGCTAAAAAATTTTTTATTATACAAACCTGTAATGTGTGGCAGTTATATTTATGATCAATTTACAAACAAATTATATGTGCACTTTATAGAGGTTGTACAATACGTGTCTTAAACAAATTAGGATTTACTAATTTCCCCCACCACTTCTGATTGGACGGATGAAAATTTTATCTCCGAGATTAAAAATGTAGTTATCGTATAAGTGGCACGTCAAATAATTTTTTTAGCGTCCGAATAAATTAATAAAATTTATTGCGAATGTTATTTTCATATTATTGGAATTTTTTGCGAATGTTGTTTGTTAAAAATTTTCAAATAAACTTTAACCATTAAATATCTTTTGTCATTTTATTAATTGTGGTTTAAAGTAATTAAGTGAAATAAACCATACTATAGGATTATTATCAATTTTATTTTAACATGTCTATTCCACTTAAAATTGATAATATTTTCAACATTGATGAAGATATTGATATGAATATTAGCGATGGAGAGTCTGATATTGATAATATGCTTGACTCTATTCTAGATGTGTTTGATGGAACTGGTCAAGCATGGAAGGTTGTAAATGATGATACAGAAGAAGAATCAGGTGGAGAAAAAAATAAAAACTTATCATTTTTCAGTGAACAAATATGTTAAATGGATCAATAACCTTGAAAAGTCAGGTCTTAGTTATAACTGACATGATCATCGAATTAAAAAGGGAGCAAAAAAAACAAATGAATGGACTGAAAAGTGGAATTGTCATTGTTATGAGGTGTATAAGAGTGTTGCTAAAAAAGATGCAAATAAAAAACCATTTAATCCAAAAAAAATTCAAAAAATGTGGATATAAAAGCTATATTTTCGTCATACTTCCTATTAATTCGTCAATTGTAGTTTTAAAATATTATTACAAATACCAGAACCATTATCCTGGTCGACTTTCAGACCTATACACACTTTCTTTTTTGGAAAATATTCATCAGTTTGTTCAACAACATGCTCTTGAGGATCTTGACACTTTTAGTATTTATAAGCTTATGCAGTTCTGGGCAATAGAGTTACAAAATCAGGTTTTTTATTTATTTTATTATTTGAGCTTATGTCATATTGTATTCTCAAATAGTTTCATTCTTCAAAAATTTTTATTTTTATTTTTATGTATTGGCAGATTTGCAAAATTGAGTTTATATTTATAAATATATAAAAATAAAGGGGCAATTAACAATAATAATAATTTTGTATCATTATTGGTAATCATCTCTTAAATTATTTTTATATACATACATATATAAACTAATATTAAATTAAATAAAAAATACATTTTTAAACTTATTGTTATATAAATCTAATTTCATAAATCTGCTGATATGTTTATTAATTTTACTTATTTAAATTTTTTTTTTTTTTCTTCTTTGGCAACCTTGCCGTTGACCTTTATTAAGATTTGTATTTACATATTTGTATATACTTTGACCTAATTTACTGGTTCAACATCCTCCGGCTGCTTCAATGAGTGCCTAGAGGTGGTCTGCCACACTGGTTAGGGTAATAACCTGGATCTGGGGGCTGTACCAGACTAGCCTAAAAGACTATATCATATGAAAATAGTCTTATTTTACTTTCTATATAACTTTTAATTGAACCAAACTATATTTCTTTTATCTTATTATTTTCTACTTCTTTTAACTCCTTAATTTTCTTAGCAGCTTGGTTTCTTTTTACTTTAATCGAATTCTCTATTTTACTATACATCTCTTTACTAGATAATTTCATCTTTCTTTCTGATTTTCTTCACTTTAATGACCAGTTGATGTTTATCAGCTTTTCCTATTCAATAGTCACTTCACATTTTCTTTTCCATATGTTTTTGTAGAACTCATTCTATACTATATTGGTTACTATATCTAAAAAGTCTTTTGTTTCCTTAAGCGGTTTTAGTACAGTTTGTATTTGTTCAATTGTCTTTTCTTAAACTAGACATTTGATTATTCCTATTCTTGTTTCTTCTTTTTCTTACTTGTTTACTCACCAAAAAATTTTTTTAAGTTGTCTTTTGCTTGTAATAACTTGTGTTTCACTTGAGATTTTAGTCTATGTAAGATTAATCGATGGGTCTTCTATTTTTTCTTATTTATTCTCATAGCACTTACATGATGCCAAATGTTCTAGATTTTCTTTCTCTTCTTCATTACAAAGTATGCAAAAGGGATTTTTATAGAAATCTGGTCTATGTTGTATTAAAGGTTTTAGTAATGGTAATCTATTATTAAGACATTTAATTAAGATTCCTATTTGTGTATTCTTTTTTTGGCTTATACATCTGCTTCTGCTTTGGTCTTTAATCTTTTTCTATAGATATGTCCAATTATATATTTTCTTCTTATCATCTGGCTCTATCTTTTTAATTGCTGATGAAAAACCTCATTTAGCTCCTGTTTGAAGGTCTAAGATTTTCTTAATAAACTTTTTCATTGGATCTTCTATAATTTCTTCTTTCCAATAAATTGAGATGCTAATTCCTCGAGAAGTTTTCTTTACTATTCTATCTAAACTATCTATTTTAGCCCCTTCTTTTGCCAACATATCTGCTCTATTGTTCCATTCATTATCACTATGGCCTTTAACTTTAACTAAATCTATTTCCAAATTTTTTAACTCTATAATGTTTTTAATATTCTCTACTAAATTATAATTATTTCTTTTTAATTGTCGTCTAATAGATTGGTTTTCTTTTCCATTTTTTAGGCCTGCGATTGCTGCTGCACTATCTGTACAAATTTTTAATTTTCTCTGTTTTGATGCTGCAAGCACAATAAACTAAATAGCTAACAGTTCTGGTTTTGTTGATGATGGCCAATTTCGTGTACCAAAACAGCCCTCACTTAGTATTTTCTCTTCTTTTCTATCTAGTTGCACCCAGCCTGATCCCATTTGGTCTACTGTTGAGGCTTCTTTTCCTAATGCTCTTTTTAATGAACCATTCATATAAAATATCAATATTTCATCAGGCCTTTCTTTGTTTCTTTGGTTGAGTTTTATAAGTTCTTCTTTCATTAGCTAACTGATATGTTGTTTTTTGATGATTTCGATATCCAAATCATAACATGCAACTTTAGTAGCTTCACTTTCATTTTGTTGTATTCTTTTTTTCTTGTTTTTTGTGAGTAGTTTATTATTTCTTGGTCTAACTCTAGGGTTTGTTGTTTACGTTTTTAAAATATAGTTTGAAATTTCACCTTGCACTTTGATTTTATCAATTCATCTTTCACAACTTGAGTTTATTTGGTTCTGATTTAACTCATAACCTTTACATTTAGATAAAGTTACTTTTGCTGTTTTCATTTGCATTTCTTCATGCCAATGTTCTGTTAATAAGCTTTTAGGACCTTTCATTACAATCTTTTCAATTACTAGTTTTGTATTCTCCTCTTCTACTGTTTTAATTAAAACCCACTCTTTTTTTCTTTTATCGCAAGAAAGTGGTTTAGGCAGCATTTCGAGAGCAAGGCTATTTGGTTCATTTGTTCTCCAATCTGCTTTTAGTAATCTTCTTTCTTTGTCTTCTAATAATT